TGTGCAAAAACCTACGCAGCGTTCCTACTTTGCACACTTTTTCCACAATTGGCATGTCACCAGCTACAAACTTCGCGGTGGCAAGAAGCAGATCAGAGACACTTCAATGCAAATCCTGCAATTAAAACTTCCTGCGTCGCCTCACCCGAAACATGTTCTCTCTTGGGCCCACGGAGGATTGGGCAAATATCAAGGCCAACAGGTTGCACAACATGCTATCCCACCTGCACTTCTTGGTGCGCAGGTCACTCAACAGCAGGTCGGCAAATTGGTCTATAGCAGCAAACATGCAGTAAATGACTCATGCAATGCTCTGATCTGACAGGAAACCAAAAGTCTTGGTGTTAAAGACCCTCTACCATCAGCTTTGCAAGAAGGCCCGGGTGACAAGTACTAGTCTGTTCCATCATAACACTCTCACGGAGTTATGTTTGGGGTCTAGCAGGTAATGGAGGAAGACCCATGCCACCCTGTGTCTGGCGAGCAGGCCGCGCCACGCAAGCAGTGCCCAATCCTGCAACGAACCTGCCTTGGCCAGGTGATGGCGCCATTGGTGGTTGACCTGGATGATGAGCCGATTGCGCAGGAGGGGATTCAAGACTGGTGGTGCAAGAGTGTTATCTTCCCAAATAGCGTTTGCTAGGAGACGAAGGAGCGGCCTGAATACATTGCGATCCAGGCAAGATTCCATTTGAGCTCAAGAACGATCATTTTGGGAGCAATACTTCAAATTCAAATCATTCATGATCAGGATGACACTCCAGTCAAGGTTGAACAGCCGGAGAAGGCGTTTCCCCGTTCTTTTTCTGTAAGTGGTAGTGTCTGAGTTGATATTAGATGGGTGGCAAGATAAAAGAGCCATGTATATATTCCCTTCCCCTGTGTCAGGTCGATGCCGTCGACCAAGCTACAACATCAGTGGCAATCGTGGCCGCTGAGGCTTGGTGTAACCTGCCAATTTTCCACTTAGTTTGGCAAGAGGCGCACGCCACGATGCAAGAAATGTTGCCCCAAATTCGGTGTTCATCCGGGCCCTTGGGGCCGACATTTCTTGCATCACCGGGAAAAGTGACCTTGACTTTCTTGCAAACATTTTGGGTTGAATCACCCTGCCTTCCCGGCATGCAGGCGCTGGCACTTCGTCGGCCTCGAGTTCGAATGGTGCTAGAGCACATCCATACGACCAACCTTTAGGCGCCAAACCTGTTGGGGGAACGTGCAGTTATTTGAGAAGCAATGGGTCCTATTCTTCGACTGTTTTGTCTTGATTTCTTCACTAGATGTTGTCAAAAAATCCGTTGGCATGAGTGAGAAAACAAAGCCAAACCTGTTGACATGGTACCGGGAGTTGATTGAGAATTGATCTTATAGTAGGATTGGTTTCGAGATTGCAGGCCGCCAACCTTCATCGAGCTCTACACCCACAGGCGCCGCTTCACCGCCCAGCTGCATGGGCACCTGTGTGGTTGTTGGATTGTGGCTATGGGGTGAAAACTATCAGCCTAAAATTGGATTCCTCCAAAAACATTCCTCCGCACCAAACTGAACAGGCCTTCCTCGGATGCATCGAGAGAGATCGATATTGGATATCTAGCTGTCGAATAGATGCTAGCGCTTATATAATATATATGGATACAGCTGGATATTAAAAAAAAATTATATATATATATATGAGCCTTCATCGTCTCACTGTCCCATATCACTTGGTCCCGGAATTGCAGAGCAAAGCATGGAACGTCACTTGGTGTCTATCGATGTATTCCAAAAACGGGCCTATGGGTTGCCTTTTGTTTGGGCTTGAGAACTTAACCATTTATCCCCTCATGCACTAGCACGGTAACTGGCCCAAGGCCCGTGTTTGCATTAAGTGGCTGAGTGATTTCTTGAAGCGCAACATCCCGGATGATCATGAGATCCGTTTGGTGCGGACTTGTCTGTGCCTTGGTGGTGCAATTTAGGAGGAACTTCTCCATATGGATCCCATGGGTCAATCACACAAAATCAAAAACGATCTACTGGTCCCAAAGGTCCCAAAGGTTAATGGGAATTCGCCCAGCACATGTCGAACGTCAACCGATCGATACCCTTTTAGCGACTGGGGCACCGTTCGGGATTGCAGGTGTGCAATTGCCGAGTTCCATCAAACCTTGGAGGATGAGGGCCGGTCTTTGAGCTTGGACGCCATCCAGAAAATGAACCGCCAAGTTGTCACCTGGTGGAATTTGGGAATGGTTGGCATTGCCCATTTTAGCACCTGAAGATTGAGATCCCCTTTTCTAACTAGCTCAGGAAACTTGCATCAAATCCTACATGCAGTTAGCGGTCAAAGCTCTTGATGCTGGTGAACTGATGTGGCCTTGCCGGCCCAAATTTCATGCGCCTTGGTAAATGGCCTACTTAAGCCATGGTGCCACATATGTTGTGCTTAATTCTTGACTGCCCCCTGTCACTCCCTCATGCCTGCAGGGTCTTCAAGAGCTGCTCCGGGTACAGTCAATCGACAGAGCCAAGGCTTATATAACCCCCCGTTGGAATTTCAACGTTGATTAACGACTCAGTACAACCAACAGCCAAGGATTGAATTGCCGCAAGTACCACTCCTTCCATAATGTGGCCCTCAGATTTATAAACCCCCCTAGAATTATGTCTTTTTTTTCCCTGCACTGATTTATAAAGGCCCCTAGAATAATGTCTTTTTTTTGGAGGGGTAGTTGTAGTGGATTTTTTTTATTGTTATAGTTTACTTTTTCCCTTTTGAATTTGCTGGGATTTGCTTATCTTACAGGCTTTTGGATTGAGATTTCTATTATATAAACATTTGGAGATGTCCATTGAGATTTGATTCTTTTGGAGGCTTTTGGATGGAGATTTCTATTCAAAAATTTGAGATTTCCATTGAGATTTGATGCTTTTGGAGGCTTTTGGATCCCTTATTTAAAAGTATTAAAAAACAAAAAAATCATTCAAGCAAAGGGGGTAGTCCAGCAAGCAGCTTTCTGACATTATTTAGGGGGGGGCCCTAGAATAATGTCTAGAGATTTGAGGCTTTAAATCTTTATTCCTTTTCTTTGCCTTTTGATTTGCTTTACTCACCCTCTATTCCTTATTTACTTTTCCTAAGCTCTTTAGTTGTGAAGCTTTCCAAAAGTTTCCAAAAGTCAGCGCGCACTTTCTTTATAAAATCCCTTATTTAAAAGTATTAAAAAAATCATTCAAGCAAAGGGGGTAGTCCAGCAAGCAGCTTTCTGACATTATTTAGGGGGGGCCCTAGAATAATGTCTAGAGATTTGAGGCTTTAAATTTTTATTCCTTTTCTTTGCCTTTTGATTTGCATTCAAGCAAAGGGGGTAGTCCAGCAAGCAGCTTTCTGACATTATTTAGGGGGGGCCCCTAGAATAATGTCTAGAGATTTGAGGCTTTAAATCTTTATTCCTTTTCTTCGCCTTTTGATTTGCTTTACTCACCCTCTATTCCTTATTTACTTTTCCTAAGCTCTTTAGTTGTGAAGCTTTCCAAAAGTTTCCAAAAGTCAGTGCGCACTTTCTTTATAAAATCCCTTATTTAAAAGTATTGAAAAACAAAAAAATCATTCAAGCAAAGGGGGTAGTCCAGCAAGCAGCTTTCTGACATTATTTAGGGGGGGGCCCCTAGAATAATGTCTAGAGATTTGAGGCTTTAAATCTTTATTCCTTTTCTTTGCCTTTTGATTTGCTTTACTCACCCTCTATTCCTTATTTACTTTTCCTAAGCTCTTTAGTTGTAGATTTCCATTGAGGTTTGATGCTTTAGGAGGCTTTTGGATGGAGATTTCTTTTAAAACTTTGTAGATTTCCATTGAGATTTGATGCTTTTGGAGGCTTTTGGATGGAGATTTCTATTAGAAAAGTTGAGATTTCCATTGAGATTTGATGCTTTTGGAGGCTTTTGGATGGAGATTTCTATTAAGAAATTTGAGATGTCCTTTTAATTTAATATTGCCAGAGGTCTTCAAACTTAGGAATTCTTATTTCCTTTTAATTTAATATTGCCAGAGGTCTTCAAAGTTAGGAATTCTTATTTCCTTTTAATTTAATATTGCGAGAGTAGCTCCAGAGGTAGCTAGCTAAGGATTCCTTATTTAATTATCAACTGATTGATTTTCATATACATTATTTTGGAGGCCTTGGTTGTTGAGGGGGGGGGGGGGGGTTTTTAAAT